TCAGAAAACGCTGTCAGCTGCTGAGATTCAGATTCAAGAGACATCATCCAACATTAACCATAAACAACAGGGGCAACCAAATGTCTGGCAGATCTTGAACTGACATGAGATGCCTGTGCTCCACAACAAACCCGTTTCACACCACGGGAAAGGTCACCACTTTAATCCACTTCTGGATGGAATGTACACAAACGTCATTCTTCTTCACATCTGTAATTAAACAGCCTCTTGCTTTGCTATCCAGCCCATGTTTATTTTCCCATTTGCTAACATGGTGGATGGTAATATAATATGACACTGAAGGGATACAGGCTGCTACAGGCAGGCTTTTCGACTTCTTTATAGTGATTTCCCTGCAGAGAGCTGGGTGCGAAGGGTGGTTGTGCTGCTTGGATCCAGCAGTGATTTCCTTTCTGGATGTTCAGCATCTTTGCACACTAAAATAATAACAGCAAAGAAGACATGAAAGCAAACAAAAACCACTGGCAGAGATCCCCAAATGTGTTGACTCGTTGCAAGAACTTGTTGAGGTCTCTGCTGGGCTCCTACAAGGGAGGAGACAGCCACTAAACTGGGAGGTTGAGGCTAAATCCATACTTCTGCTATGAAAAATCTGGTTTTCAACACTGGTAATGTCCTGGATCATTTGGGAGAAGCCTTGTGTGTCCCTGTGGCCTCCAAGGAACATCTGAAATAACCCTGATTAGCCCCTTACAGGGCCCTTCCTTTCCCACAAAGTGCTCCTGGGTACCAGTGCCAGCTCCCACCACACCACACGGTGCCCAGCAGGAAAAACCCCACAGCAACAAGCATGTTTTTTTCCTTCCCAAACCTTTTGGGCTGGAGGGCTGGCACATGCTCCATTGGGAGCCTCTCCAGGAGTCGGACACCAGGGCTTTCATGGGAATGGCGTTAGCCATTGGGAAGGACTGTGGCACACGTAGCTTTGCAGCCTCAAGGCATGGATGTGTACTTCAGGTCTTAGCACGCTCTCAGCCAAACAACACCAAGATGTTTATTTTCAAAAGGATGCAGTGTTTGACAAAATAAACTATATTTGATTAATGCCGACTGCTTTTCTGTTTTTTTTCTTTTTTTTTTTTTTTTTTTTTGACAGCAGTAAATTTGCTGATTCTATAAACAGCCCATGGCTGCATTATCTGCCTATACCAAAATTCTAGTTACCTCATCTCCAGGGAATGACCTTAGTAACATTTTGACAAGCTTATTTAGGGGGTTGTTTGTGGATTTGGGTTGTTTTTTTCTTCTTCTTAAGGAGGTCTCCTACAAGCAAGCCACAGAATGGAGCTGAACAAAACCCACTACTTCTCTTCACATGAAGAGTTTCACCACGTCTCACACCTTAACAGAAAACCCAAATTCCCATGCTGAAGACCAGCAAGCATCCCCAGCGTGATAGTTTCAGTTCATTTCCCTTCAGCTGCAGATTTCATCCTCCTGATACCTCCATACCTAGCTCCTTGCTAAGGGAACAAATAACATACTGGAAGGATTTGTGATTTTGCAGGTGTCCAGCTGAGTCACCCCCAGCTGTGGAGCTCAAACTGAAAAATCCCTGGTTTTCTGGGAATAGACACCTGCTTCTAGGGTGTGTGATCTGGTAAAGCTTTAGCAGCATTTGTCAATCATTAAGCTGCAGTGCTGCTGGAAAGGTCAAGAAAATTCCCACCAAGGCACCCAAATGTTTGGGAACCAAATGATATTTCTGGGCTGCTTTAGTTTAGGTGAGTTTAGGTGTCCTGCAGGGCAGGACTAGTCTGGTGTGCTTGGCCAGTCCCACCTCTGAGCTATGTGCTCCAACACTGGAAGGAGGTGTCTCAGCAGCACACCTGGCTGTTTTGAGCCTTTTGAGGCCTTTGTGTGGCTTCATGTATTTTACTTTAGACACTTACGCAACATCCCACATGTGGCTCCTGACAGCAGCCTGCTCGTCTCCCTGCTCCCCAGGCTCTTGGTGGGAACTGCCCACCAGCACCATCTCGCATGAGGCTGTGAGGATCTCACCACGGACCAGCAGCTGCCAAGAAAGCAGAGCAGGGGGCAGGGCAAGGCAGTCATCTCCTCCCCTCCAGTCCCCAGCATGCCACCCCAACAGGACCATGACCAGTGCGCTGAGCGCCCTCCAAGGCTGGGGATCATCTGGAAACTGTCCCCCTATGCAGACATGTCCCTCCTCTTCCCCCACAGCAACACCCCTATGTCCAGCTGCCATGTTTGCAGGCATGGCTGGTGCTCTCTGCATCCTCCTTGCAAGGGGGATTTTGTTTCCATTGGAAGTCCCAATGAATCCAGACCCCTATCCATGCTGGGTCCATGCTCCAGAGTGCTTGATGGCTTTGCTCATGGAGATGAACGAGCAATTCTGAAAATCCCCCTGAAAAATGAAACTGAGACTCTCTAGATTTCACTTCCCCAAACAGCATGAGCCATAAGCACCAGCTGTTTCTAGCAGCTGTTCAGTGAGTTAGATTTTGCCATTCCAGCACTAAACTATTAGTCAATTGATTAATGAACGAGGACTTCTCATCCAACAAAAATATTTGGGTTTTAAATTATAATTTGATGCACGGTTAGTGCAGAAATATGTTACACATGCTAAGCACATGTTTGCATCTCATCATCACTCTCAGATACAGGGAAAGGTGCTGGCTTCACCACCTTTCCAGGGCTGCTTGCAAACCACCCCCCCCTCCCAGGGATGCAGTGCCTTCACATGCAGCAATGGTGCTGCTCACTCCTGCCTGCACGGGTGATGTGCACAGGGCTGCAGGCTCCTGCCACCCCACTGCTGCCACCAGAACTTAGCAGGAGCTGCAGAACTGGCTGAGAACCATTGAGGTTAACTGGCAGGGGTGACAGCTCAATCACCTGAGACTGGAAACTTTCCCAAGGTTTCTCCTTTAGCCGGTAGCAGCACAGGGCACTGAGTCCATGAGGCACTGCTGGGACACAGTGCTGGCAGACAGAGGGCAGGTGCAGAGCACCAAGGAATCCCTGGTTCTGCACAGGGAGTCTGACTGGCTCTGGATTTCACTGCAGAGCTAGAAATTATCTAGAAAATTACATATATATATATATATATATATATATATGACATGTATACTCATTAATATTATATAATAATAATTATAAAATTAAAAATTGAAATAATCTCAACTGTGTATTAGCAGTTAAACCTGCAAGCCCTGGGACATGGTGTGGCATTCCAGGTACACGTGCACAGGGGGAGGCGACAGTGCCCATCTCCTGATGCAGGGGTCCCATCCCATGGCAACACAGGTCACAGTACACAGAGTTGGTGTGGAGAAAAAAACAGGGAACAATTATTCCTTATTTCTCATGACACGGGAATGAAACACTGCCTGATATTAAACACCAGCTTTATTCCCCTTGGTGGCCATGACATCCCTTGCAAACCCCCAGTTAAAACATGCACAAACCCACAGCAGGGGAAAATTTAACAGTTGCTTTTTCAAGTTCTAATCCATTATTTTATAAACTTGGCAGGTAGTGGGCTCAAAGGCTGTTTTTTGTGATCTCTGATCATAACAACGTCTCCAAGAAGTACAGGTTTGCTAAACAGCATGTCTGTGCAATGGGAAACCAGGCTCAGCGTGCCTCAGAGGGGTCTTCTGCTGAGAAGCATCAGCATCATGCTGTGGTGATGCAGAGTGGGAGAACCCATCAGGCTTTGTGAGACACACAGCAAGGCACAGCCTGTGCTAGCTTCCTCAGAGAGAAAACATGCTGGACTTGTACTGAGAAACTGATGCCATCATCCTATCCTGCTGCTTATCTAAGGAAGCAGCAGCACACAGAATATTTCTGACACAGTATTAGAGGAGATGATGCCCCTGTGCTGGTATCAGCAATACCTGGCAAGGCAGAGGCAGCACATCACCTCTGAATAAAGCCAGTGGTCTGCTCCCACCCCCAGTGCTCCCGGGGGATGAAAGGAAAAGGATCAGAAGGGAAGAAGTGATGGAAATTCAAGTGGCGCTAATAAAATATTCCCTTTGGTGGAGCAGAGGCTCATGGGCTCAGCCAGCTGCGGCATGGAGAGCTGGGGTGATGGGGAGGGCTGGGCCAGAACGAGAGCAAAGCAGCAGGAGGATGAAGAAATGCCTCTGCCAGCACTGCTGATGGCTCTCCCCTGCATCACCCTGTGCACTGGACCTCTCTGACCCGAGGGCTCCCCAGCAAGTGTGATCCCAAGAGATAGAGAGGATTGCAGTTTGGTTTGTTAATGTGTAAAATACAAAACCTCATCACACTGCGTAGATGTAGAAATTGAGCCCTCACAGGAATACTGCAATGACACCACCGCTGCCCAAACATCCCCAGCACTTACCCCATGCAGATGGGACATGAGGATTCTGAAACCCACTAACCAGCAGGTCATGCAGAGGCTAAGCCCAGATCTGCTCCTTTCCATCAGGAACAGTGAATTGGGACTTAACATCTTCAGGAGCAGATGAGCAACCTTCTCTCCCTCTGCCACAATCCCAAAGCACTTCATGCAGTCCCAAGGCTTCAAATCAGGGTCAGCCAGATAAACCCCACCGCTCAGACTGGGCAAAGTTTCCACTCTCCAAAGCATATGACCGCATGGTTCGGATTTATCTACTTCCTCCTAAACACAAAGTTGCTGTAAAAAGAGGTCTGAGGCACACAAATATTCAAAGCATTCACATGCATGTGAGAGTGTGCGTGCACACGTACATGCACACACTGAGGCTTAAGATACTGTGGATATAATCACTCTAGTAAAGGCAGCATGTTAAACAGAAATATGTAACCATCCTGGCCAGGAACCAAAACAAACACTCCCTGGCCCCAGCCCTTCCATTTAATCAGACCAAGCCAAGTTTTTCCATGGTGGCCCTGAGCTGGGCACAGGTGGCCTTCCCAGGCTGCCCACTCCAGCACGAGACTGAGTATCGTCTCCAACACATGTGAGACGACTTCCAATGCGCCACTTATAGAGCAACCAATCTTTATTTTAGAGATAGCTTATGTAAAGTAACATGCAAAGAAACACATGAGTAAGAGTCTCATCTGCCTCAGGCTCTTACAAATCCTTTTTTTTCCCTCCTTCATAGCACAACACGTTGGACGCCCGTTATTCATCCCTGTAAAGCACAGTGTGTACATCCACGCTGTCTGTCCTTTGGCTGGAGCTGTCTTAGCAGATTTCCCGTGGGAAAGGAGGTGCTTCACTTCTAAAGAATAAAACCAGGGCATTGCATGGGCCACAAGGATGCTGGTAGGGACTAGCTACCTGAACTGATGGGCTTCAGGACCCACCTGGGATGTGAGCAGCAAAGTCACCTGCAACTTGCCATGATGCAAGATGTTTTGTGCCCAGGGAAGCATGTCTCCACGATAATCCCAGTGCATGGCAACTTCTCATCCACAGCATCTTTCCTCCTGCTGTGTGTCTGATCTTCTCTCTCCCTTGTCTTCACATGCCCTCAGTATTATGTCCTGGCCAGATTCCTAGGGGTGAGACTCGAATTTGGACTAAGTACAAAAACCGCTTGAACTACAGAAAAAAATCTGTATTAAGTCACGTAGGATCAGGGGTCTGATATTTGCTGAGAGTATTTCATAAACCGTAGGTGTTCTGTACCCCATGCATGTTCGAACAACTCAAGATGAAATATGGTCTTCACCTTAACAGCAAGAGAGAATTTAGTCTTCAAAAACTGCGAGGAACACAGTTTAATACAAACCAGCTCACAGTAAATAGGATTATCTTTAAAAAGCTCTGTTACCTATTTCATAGTTTGCCATGAACCAACATTCTTTTAAGTTTGTTGGGGTTTTTTGTGAAGATACCATATTCTCTTATAAAAGCAACTCCGGCCATTTGTCCTGTCTTCAGAAATGTGCATATATTTCAGAAGAAGTTCCAAATGTCTTCCTCATTAAAAAAAGGCATGGAGAGACGTGGAGTGGTGCCTCCAGCACCACTCACAGCCAGTAGCCCAGCAACAGCAGCAGGACCAGGGCAAGGACAGCAGCAGGACTGGGGCGGGCGGCTGCACTCCCAGGGTCACTGCTGGGGACTGTGGCACCATCTTTGCTTTGCTGATTCAGAAGCTGCTTATTTGCAGAGATGTCATCCATATCCAGGTCATACGCCAGCTCTGAAAGCAGAAGGACAGAGGGGGTTAGTAACAGGTGGTGTCTGTTAAGATTCTGACACATGGCACCTCCAGCCCCCACCAAAATTGGGCTCCTGGGGGCAGCCCATGACACAGCTGAGGACAGCTGGGTCCAAGTGCAAAGACATCATAGCAGGGCTGGATGGGCCAGAAGAGCTTAGCAAACATCTCATCAGTCCTGCACCCACTGGTCCCAGAGTACCTCCCAGCGCCCTATGTTTGGAGAGACTGAAAAATCATAACTGTGTGGTGCCCCTGTAAGAAAACAAAAGAGTTAAGGGGATCTGGCTTACTGGAGAGCTACTCCTAAAGAAAACCAGCTGAGCTCTGGAGCAGGTGTTTAGCAATGCAAATCATGTCTGCTTCCCAGCACCACAAGAATGTGTGCAGGAGTGAGGAAATCCTGGCGAGCGCAAACAGTTCCCCAAACCCAGAGTCAGCAGAAGGCCTTGCTCACCAAAACCTCCCGGTTGTAGGACCTGAGGAGTTCTGCATTTTGCAATCTTATGTAATATGTGTAAAATATGCTCCTTAGAATGTCCTAAGAACACATCCCATGCCAGTTCCACCTCATCAAAGCACTGGAAAGGAAGGAATGTGAATGGATCATGCACTCTGGGCATTCTGGTGTTGCAACATGTGGACTTTGAGATGAAGCACATGTGGGTTCCAAACCAAGAAAATGTCCAGTATGAAAGTTTTGATAGTCTTGACAGAGGAGTGCGACATTAATGGGGGAAAAGCTTGTGGCAACCTATCACTGGCTGTGAGGGGCCTGCTGAGAAGTAAGTCACAGTCACCCCTGTCTTCCTGGGACAGGGAAGAATAAAGTCCAAATAGACAATGTGGAAAGACCAAATGCCAGCAATTCTCAGGGCCAAGAACAAGAAGGAAAAGTTGCTCTAAGATGCCATTAGCCAGATCCACCTGGGGCGATTGTCCCTGTCAATCAGCTGGACTGAGTGAGTGCACCCACGCTTGACTCAGGGCAATAGGTCCCTTGCTCCCCTGCTTGTGGGAGGGAGCTGCCATCTCCTTCTGGGGTCCAGGTTTCTCACCCAGACAGGAATCAATTAAGCTTTTTCATCTTATCCCCAGACCCTGGCCTTTGGAAGTGGAGGAAACTGTTGGTTTCCATCAGAAGAGGCCCTGGCTCAAGCCTTTTACAAGCCTCCTGGATCACCAGCATGCTGACAGGTTTGGATCATCCCACCGCACCCCTGAGAAAGAATCCAAGAGGCTGAATAAACACTCCATCTAAAAAATGCCACATCAATCCAATGAACACCACTGCCAAGGCAAACAGGCAGTATTTCTTAATCAAAAAATACCCAAACATTGCAAAACAAACGATATTAGCATGACAAGTGAGTCAGCCCAGGCCAACAAAGGGGGTCAGAAATGGCTCAAGGGAAGTAGTTTTCCATGCACACTAAGGGCCAGGTGCGAGCAAAACCCGCCTGGTAAAAGAAAGGTGCCACCTGGAAAGGAATGTCCTGGGAGGCCATCTCTGCCCATATTGGGCTGCCTTCCAAACACAGACAGAACAAGTCCCTCTGGCATGAGGGATGCTCAGGCTTCAGGGCACTTTGGGAGCAGCCTGGCTGCACCACTCCTTTTTTTCTTAAGCTCATTTCTGCAAAATAGGTGAAGGGATTTGGAGTTAATAAAATCCCAGCAGATTATTTCACAGTCTGTTGTTTTACACAAGACTCCTCAGCTGGCACAATGTGGGATCAGGGCAATGACGACCTGCCCTGGTGTGTTTTGGAAAGTATTTCCCCACACTCCAAAGGCTCCTAAAACCTAAAAGATGCTCTGTGGGGTCACAGTACCATTAGGCACCCACATGGTTCCAGGCCAGTGATCATCAGAGCTTTTGAGGCAGAATATTCTCACTGGCCATCCTAGCAAAATGAAAAAAGATCCCCAGGAACTGAGTAACTACTGTTGCCTTCCATTTAGAAAAGAAATTTGAAACAAAAGAGTGTTTCAGCAAGGTCCTTAACAGCACAATGGGTTTTGACATCCCCATTTACAGTCTGATTCTGGGATATAATTTATGAGATGAGAGTTCCTGCAGCAGCTGAATCGTGTTGGAAACGTTCAGCCAGAATGTACAAAAATGACCATTTCAAACATATTCTTCTATATGGGAAAATTTCAAATTCTGGGATTTCACCTCAGTTTGACTAAGGGTAGTTTTTTTATCTCATGGCATTTCACCCAAATGGAGATGATGATTCTCTCACTCATCCATTTTGACCAAATTAAAGAGAAGGGAACAGAAACCCTTTTGTCATCAGAGATTACAGTGCTATTTTCTTTGTCTTGTTTAAATGCTTCAGAAGTTTAGCACCTGGGTGTGCCATTTGTTTTCACTATTCCTTCCATTGTTTCCTACTCTGAGCTTATTTGTGCCCAACTGTGTTTTCAGGCTTGATGGATTTAGCCAAACATCTTTTATTTTGTATTAATAATCTGTAACTCTTGCAAATGCCTTTCACTTAACTTCTAATGACCTTCGGTACATCAGAGTAGAAGAAAGTAAAAAGTATGAGCCTCTAACAGATCTCAGACAGCTGATAACCAGGTCCAGGCAATAACAACATCAAAAATACACATCACAGAATCACAGAATGAGTACAGTTGGAAGGGACCACAGTGGTTCATCTGGTCCACCCTCCCTGCTCAAGCAGGGTCGTCCTAGAGCACATTGCACAGGACTGTGTCCAGACAGTTCTTGAGGATCTCCACTGAGGGAGACTCCACATGCTCTCTGGGCAACCTGTTCCAGCACTCAGCCACCAGCACAGTAAAGTAGTTCTTCCTCATATTCAGGTGGAACTTCCAGTGCAGCAGTTTCTGCCTGTTGCCTCTGGTCTTACTGCTTATATTATCGATAATAATCATATCTCAAATTCTGGAATCCAAATACTCCTAAGCAGGTACTTGAGAGGGCTCCACTACAATTTCCAGACTTTCCTAGGATCTCCAGTTAGCCCAGGTCACCACCACATGCCTGCACCTTCTCTTCCCACAGCTGCTGGGAGCAAAAGACCTGGGCAGCAGGGATGGAGCTGCAGGATGGCTGGTGGGGTAACAGAAACTAACCTTACACATATTCCACCCAAAACTCTGCCCTTACACTGCAAAATAACCCAAGAGAAGTTGGTCCTCTCTGTCCCCTCTTACACAGCCACCTTCTGCATTAAACATCTCCACAGCCCCAGCTCTGATCACCCAATTCAACGGCATCAGTTTCTCAGTACAAAGTGGCCCTTTGGCCTGCAAAGACTTTTTTTGGGGGCAGGAAACTAGAAAAATCTGTTTCTGTTTATAATCAGTCGGAGTCCAGGGGGTATTACCAACAATCTGCGCTAATTACAAATTCAATCTTCACTCATTTTGCCCCCTCTTGTCCTCTGGACTGCAGATTAGATAATCCCCTTAAAATAATAGTCAATCATTAGCTCTGCTTTTTTATTCCCCCCTCACGCAAGCCGAGCGTGCTGTGCCGTTTCCCGGAATCCTCACACAGCTGGTGAAAGGTCTCCAGCCGCACACAAGCCGGTCCCTCCGGAAGCATCCTTTGTAACCAAAGCCCCTCTAACACAAAGCTGCTGCGCTGTGCTCCCAGGACTGCAACAGCTTCAATGGTCTCGCAGCGTGGACGACAAAACCTGGCGCCAGCTCTACAACACGCACTTTCTGCATCCACAGAATAAAGCGGCAGCATTTTTCCATGGATTAGGACTAGAATTGGGCACACTGACTCTGCACAAGCTTATTGGGCAGGAATCATTAAAAAGCTCTTCTTGCTGAACCACACCAGCTTTGGAGACAGCTACAAAAGACGGCTGTTTTGAGTTGGGATAATAAGTCCCATGGCAGCTGGCACAGAAGGAGCCGGGAGGATGAGTGACACACAGGCCACTTGCAGCAGGGTTTCCTCTGCCAAATCCACTGCTGCCTACCAAAACACCCCTTTTCCCCCCTAAAAAGGACAACACTGCCTTAAGCAAAGAACCACCAGCAAATGCCACTCTGGCAAATGACCTCGAAGAGGAGAGTCCTGCAGGCTGGTCTCGCCTGCTGCCCAGAGCCAGGGAATGCCACCTCGCAGGCCGTTATCTGGGCTGCCTGCCTGCCAAGCCTGCCCTGGCAGATACATCCAGTGACAGCCCTAATATAGTAACAGAACCATAATGGATGGCCATGCATGAAACCCCCCTTGCTGTGTCATCTGATGGCTCTGCCAGTGCCCCACGCAATGGTGACGGGTGCGAGGGGATCCCATCACAGGCAAAACCATTGTGCCCAAACCAGCCTGTTCACCAAACTGGGCTGCTGAGTGGGCCAAAGCACCTGTGGGGACACAGTGATGGCCCTTGTTTGCAGATGATGGAAACTTGTGGTGGGACAGGAATGGATTGTGGCCATGTGTTTCCAGGGAGTACAAAACACATCAAGCAGAAATGTCAGAGTCTGGCAAGCTCCTGCATCTGCCAACATCTGCCTGCATCTTTCCTTCAGGACTGGTCTAGAAAAGCACATGCTACCATTGCCAATGAGAATGACAATCTGCAGGATGCACTGTTTTGTTTAATTTTTTTAAGCAGCAAGCATCTTCATTGTGGGCAAAAGTGAGCCAATAGATGCATTAGACTTGCTGTCTCCAAAACAGGACTGGATTTCTCAAAGGGAGAGATGTTTTGAGTCAAGCCCAAACTGTTGACTCATTACAAGGTGAAGCATAAAAGCCTGTGATTCCACCGACCAGGCTGCCTGACCCTGGCTCCCAACTGTTTCTGTCTCTACAGTACCAACTGCTTCACTCTAACAGGTGTTTGCACCTGAAATTCAGAAAAACAGTTCAATTTCATCTCAAACTCTTCCTGTTGGAACACTAAAAGCTCTGCTCACCTCAGCCTCCAGTTATCTGGCTTTCTCATGCAAACAGCTCATACTGCAAATGCACC